TATGTCAAGATCACCAAGAGCCGAACATAGTGCTTTGTGGTTAAAACCTTGCAGTTAGACGATTATTTGTACTCTTACTTTACTTACCTTTGTCATAGGACTATGCATTTGTACAATGTAACGTGGTGGGTTTTTTTTTTCTCTGATGAGTTTCACTTTGAAAAACAGAGAGAATTCATAATGTGTGATATTAAAGAAGTTTCTTCTAGAGAAAAGTGGCAGAGGGTTTTTATAATTATTGTTTCCTCCTGGTGGTAGTAAAATATTCACCCCAGCTAGATTTGAAATTTGGTGCTGAATTAAGAAAGTTCTAAAGCAAGGGTTAAAACTTTCTTTCCTGGGTAATGATTCTGTTCCTCCTGGACGCAAAGAAACATTGCATGCAACATTAAACAAAGTATGTTTTTCTAATGCAGTATATATTTCAGTATTTAAAATAATTTAAGAGAAATGATATTTCATTTTTTATTTCCAGAATGGGCTGGAGATACTGAAGAATTCTGTCTAGAAATAAGATTTAGAAACAAGCATAGAAAGATAATATTTATATAAAGAAGATAAACAGTTTCATTTCTGACAAGTTTTTGCTTATACTTTTTGGTAAAGTCTCCAGGTTCAGGAAGTCTCCATGGGAATACCAACTTTACTGGAGAAGAGGATTTTCAGAAGAAGCCTAACATTACTGAAGAGTCAAAACCAGATCAGTTCTGTAAGTGAAAGTAGAAGTAGAATGGCAGTAATTGAACAATTCATCTGCATGACTTCTGGCTTTGGTGTGTTTTCCCTAGCATTGGCATTGAACATGTGTTCTGAACTTCCAACATGGACAATGTCAGGCTCACCATCGCTTTCTGACTTGAGACAAACACAGCGGACTTCATGGAAACCCAGTAAGGTGTGAATTGACTGTCTCTTCTAGATCTTTTGGGCTTTATTTCTGTCATGGTTTAAACCCAGTCAGGCAACTTGTTCACTCCCAGTGAGTGGCGCCGGGCTGACAACAATCGAGCCCCCCCCCCACCGGGGCTCTCCCCTTCCCCGCTCCCGGAGGAACGGGGAGGAGGATCGAAAGGGTGCAACTCCTATGGGTTGAGACAAGAACAGTCCAGCAACCAATGTACAACACAAATCACCACCGCTACAACAATGATAAGAGAAAATAACAAGGGAAGAGAATACGATACCACCGGCCAAGAAACGAGGCCCACCCGGAAGCCCGTGTCCTTCTGGGTAACTCCCAGTTACCCCCTACCCCGGGCATGACGTGCTGTGGTATGGAATACCTCCCTGGCTAGCCTGGGTCAGGCACCCCGTCTCTGCCTCCTCACAGCTTCCCCTCCTTCCTGGCAGAGCATGAGCCTCACAAAGTCCTTGGTCAGGGTAAACATCACTTAGCAACAACCGAAAACATTGGTATCACCAACACTGTTCCCAGGCTGGAAGTCAAAACACAGCACTGCACCAGCTACCACAAAGGAGAAACATGACTGCTACTGCTGAACCCAGGACAATTTCCTACATGTTCATGGTAGCAGTTTCTAATTCTTGAAAACTGCTTTACGTCAACACTCAGAATAATTTCAATTTTCTATGAGAAAGAAACAGTAAGAAAGAGAATAGTGACAAAGCTAGAATGGTTTATTCCAGTCATTCACTTGACATGTTAATTCTTCATCCGTAGATGATTTCATCAGTACAAATGACTTCCTCACTTGATTCAGACCCCCCAGTTTCTCCAGCTTCAGGAAGTGAGGAATCCATTGGAGGCATTCAGGAGCCCCTGAGACACAGGATCTTGCCAAGTGGACTGGAACTTTCAGATTTTATTTTCAGTAAGAAATTACAGTTTATAATTGCACTTTGCAATATTTCTGCTGGAAAATCTCTGAGGAGTTTTGAAGCACAGTGAGTTGCACTATAATAGACAGTTACCCTGGGTGCTGAAACAAGACTGAGATATGTCTGGGCAACTACAGAATTTAGATCTGTGTTCATCACACGTCTTTCATAGGGGTGTGTGTTACATTTTTAAGCACAATTTTAAACATCATTTTCCAAATCAGCTGAGTTAGCCTTGAATTTCATGCCTCCTCCCCCAGTTATATTCTGAATATAATTATCAAGGCCAGGTTGGACAGGGCTTGGAGCAACGTGGACGAGTGGAAGGTGTCCCTGCCCATGGCAGGGGGTTGGAACTGGATGAACTTTAAGGTCCCTTCCAACCCAAACTGTTCCATGATTCTCTGAAAGAGACTTCAGTAGAGTGATTTAATTTTATAAAGAAAAATGAGCTTCTAGTTTTGGGGGAAAAAAGGCTGTAAGCTAAGCTTCCAATTCCTATTACTGTTTTCATTTATTGCCCTGATTTAAATTTTCTTCCATATTCAGCTGCCCTCTGACCCACTTCCAGTTGGCACCTATCAATGGCTGCCATTACTTACTGATAGTGAATTTAGTTCAAAAGGATGCTTGTGGAACTAGATAGAAGCCTCTTTATCTACACTGGGTAACATTAATGTACACAGTCGTGGGTATCCGTTTGGAAAAAGGAGCAAATTTAAGGTGGCTGTTTTCCAGTTGGCAGCTGCAATTTACTACCAAGATTATCAGATTAATGACCTCCAAACCACAATAATGTTTAAATAATTTCTACCAGAGGTTTTCTTTTATACAAGTAAGAGTGCCTACAGAAATGTGTTCTAAGTATTGGGGTTTAAGTATTAAAAGAATCAGTGGAAATCACATTGTATGGAAATGTAGTGTGGTACTGCACAGGAAGAACTTAGAATTCTTTCCATATCTTATTTTTGCACATCTGAAGTTACTGTCCCATCCATAAGTGCTTCAAAGTTGCTTGTAAGATATATCTGCCCTACAGCACAGGAGAAATCCAGCCACCCAGAGGAATGCAACCTCTCAAGAGTCAAACCCCCAGTTGAAAGACGAACTCCATTTGTCACTCTTCCTGCCACTGAGAAGATTCTTGACACAGTTTATTCAACTGACAGCGAGGAGGCCCTGCAACCTTTTGGCTCTTCAGTAGTCAATTTATGCAGCAAGTCAGAGGTATTTCCTATCAGTGCTTTTGGCCCTGAGGACAGAAATTATGAAACCTCTGTGTTTGGAGAGTATAAGGAAAAGAGACAAAGGGAATGTGTTCAACCAGTGTCCCCTAATGTCACTTCACAATATAAAAAAAGCAAGTGGCTAAAATATCAAAACAGTGCTCAGTGTGACTTGACAACTGTAAACAGTGATGGTAGGGAAGTGACTGATGACATATGTGCGGAGAACCTCCTTGGAATGCTGCCGAGTGACACAGGAGAGTGCAGCATTGTGAATAAAAGCGCTCCCCACTCTGCAGCTCTACTGACAGCAAAGAGCGCCCTTGGTAAATGCTCTGCAAATACCAGCCACCGAGATCTGATTTCAGAGAGGAAGTTACTTTCTCCACAATTCAGTCAGACACCTTTGACTGAAGCAACACAAAAGGTGTTAAGTCATTTGAGCTGCCACACTGCAACAGGAGCCAGCCAGGTGTGTAAGCATTCAAGCAGATAAGAGTTAGAAGCACAGAAAAACATTTTTTCTGGACAAAGAAGCTGCATTGATCTGATTTCCTGCAAGACATTATCAGTATGATTAAATGAAAAGTTTTTACATATGTAATAGCACAAAAGCCTCAGCTGCAGAACAGCAGCTTCTGATGTATTTTTTTAAGTGCCATGACTAATCTTTTGCAAAGGTAATTCCTTAGCACACGCGCTGCCAGGTTTAGATTCTTCATCTGAATGTTGATGGCAGCAAGATGAAATAAAAGCTGTTGGGCTATTTTGTCATCTGTAATCAGTAAGAACATGTTTTCAAGAAATGTTTCTCCTTAATTGCAAAATCAGCATTGTTTTAATGAGCACCCATATACTGCTTCAAAGCACAGTCTCTGATTTTTAACCAACCCCAAGCCAAGATTTAGAAGTTGCCAGATCACTGTGTTTGAGAGTTAATGAAAATGGTTGTTAGATGGTTTCCCCCCCCCTTTTTATTTTTTTTGGCACAAACTCAGTATGCTGTGTTTTCTAGTTCTTTAAAATCATAAATGTGAAGTAGACATGTGGAAATTACTACTGTATTTCACACACACACTGGTATACATGTTGTGTGGGGTTTTGATTCGGAGAAAACTCCAGGAACAAACTTGCCAACAAAGTTTTCAAGCTGACAAGCAGGTATTCTTTATTGCGGCGCCGGGAGACATGGGGGATAGCTCCTCCTAACGTGTGTCTCCCACACAAGCCGTCCTTTCATAGTCACTGGGCAAACATACATATTCATGAGGCTACATATGGATTACATAATTTTCCAGAAAGTTCCCCGCATGCATACAGAATTGTGGTGGTGGTCTCCAAGGGTCGTTAACTTCTTCCAACAATCTTCATCACTTCTGGCAACCTTTGAAGCATGCACAGTAGATGCTCATACCAGTTTAATTGGTTCGTTAGCACCAGAGACATAATAATCCTCCTATCCTCCTACTTATCAGTTAGTTTAACTGTAGCCCATCCTGGACACCAGCGGTTCCCAGATACTCCTTATCCCTGTGTCCTGTTCTTCTAGACTGTTTTTCTTAAACTATGTCAACTGTAACGATTTATCTTGTGAGAATTCTCAGTATGTTCTCTAGCTGTACTCTTATTTTTTTTTCTCTATGTATCATGCACCTCAGTAATTTTCCATTGCTACTGTTACAAAGCCATCAAACTTAACACTACTTATAACTAATTCTAAAGGTTTCTATATTCCATTTTGTGATTTTGTGCCCCCTTGTTTCAGTTTATACTCATATATACATATATATATATACACATATATCTATATATGGAATTACGGGTTTTAAAAAGCTTTCAGAGTCTTCATGGTGAAACTTCCAGGGGGAGTTCTGAATGTTTTCTATTTAGTTGTACTTATTACTGTGAGCACAATACATAAAACCAAAAAAGGAAAAAGAGAAGAAATATGGATAGGTTTTGGCACATCTGCAAAGTAGCCATTTATCAATGTTTATCTCATTCAGGGTTTTGCAAGTTGTAATGGTATTTTTCTGTTTTTTAGGATATATCAATTTGTGAGTTGTCTTTTCCTCATGTGGATAAAGTAAAACATGCAAACCTTCCTAAAAGGAAGACTTTCATACCAGCCATGTTTCAGTCTCATGTTCAGTACAAACAGATTTTTAAAGCTGCTCTGACAGGTCGGTATAACACCATGCTATGGAAAATGCTGCTGGTTTTAAACAGCATATTTCTGCTGGTTCACAAAGCAGGATGACAGGGGGATAAATCATCAATATCACTTACTGGAACAACTCGGGTTTGGATATATACTGAAATATATTTGGTTTCTTTTAGTATGAGATTAAATATTTTGATTTAGATTTGGAAGTGTCAAATGAAAAGACATTTGTTTGAATGCTGTGTACTTGTGTAACCATTTTAAGGCCATACTAATATTTTCTTATCCTTTCTATGTCAAGAGCAATTGAACATAATGCTATTTGAGTTGTCCCAAAGATTCTACAATGCCCTTTCAAAAGTGGATATATCATTCTACACTTCATTGAAAGATGAGCAAACTGAGAGCAAGGAAAGTTGTGTTCCACTGTGCCATCACATGCATCCTGCCAAGCTTGTTATGGCTAAAAAAGAAGGTCAAAACAAGGTGCTGCTCATTTCTTGTTTACAGTTTAGGGTGTTTGTTTGGTGAATAGACCTTATTGTGTGAACAATTACAGGGCAACTGTGTATGATTTACAACTGCAGGTTAAAGTGGTGATCACTTTTAAGACCAGCTGTACTATCCGCTAGTGTCCAGAATTGTTGATGTAATAGTTTTCTCCATACAGAAACAGTTTTACCTATGTAGGAAGACCTGAATTCTTAATTTTCTTGGTTATATGGGATTTCAGTAAGCTGTGATTACACATACTGACTTCAGAAGCTAATAGTACTGAGAAGACACTTGTGGTTTTCAGCCAAAGACAGCAAAACCACAGCTCTTTGTTTATTTGATAGCAGCAAGTACTGGTCTATTGTTTTACTTTTCCCCCCCTTGTTTTGATGTGCTAATGGTTTTTTTTTAATTTCCTTTCTTCTCTCTTACCAGAGTCATTTATTCTACACCTGTGATGCCCCCAAAGCTGAGCAGTGTTCATTTTTCAAGTGGATAGAAGACGTGAACCCCACACAGACAAAATCCAGACCTAGCATAGTGCTTCTTGATATAAAAAGTATTGGGACATACCTCAGAAGTCAAAAGATTTCTCTCTATGAGGAATGCCAGCTTTTGGTGAGGTATTCTGAAATGCTATGCACTCTTCACTGCGTAGATGAGGTCCTCAGTGACATGGCCTTGGCAGTCCTGGTGTAACAGCTGAACTTGATCTTAAAGGTCTTTTCCAACCCAGCTGATTTTATGATTCTATGATTCACATATGCTTATGTGAATTGCAGGATTTATAAACATTCCAGTATATTCACTAGCATTTAACAGATACTTTTACTAGCTATGCTAAAAGAGGCATACAGTTGTGTGTAGAAATGTCAAAGCCAAATTAGTGAGGGAACTCAGCATTCAGGTCAGCACTCTTTTCAGCAAGAATCAAAACTTCTTCCCAGCAATTGATCGATTGTTTAATGAAACCCCCAATGACTGCTGCATTTGAATTACTGTTTGTTTCATCTTTCATAAGAGAATTTGGTTTATTCTCTTAGTGATTCTAATTTTAATGTTAGAAGTTGTATTGAAGGCTATTCTGTGCTACTTAACTATAAGGGAAACAATTTAATTCTGGCTGCATAAGAGAGAATTATTTTGCAGTCAAGACAAATGTCTTTAAAACTTGGTAATGTAAGATGATGGGCAGCTGCCAAGGTCTGCGCTGTGTAATTTGGTCCAACCTCTGGAGCTTATTTTTGGTGGTGAATCCAAAATGTCCTGATTGTGAACATACTCTAAAATTACAATTTAACAGGAAAGGCTTTGAAATTCAAACACAGCCGTGTAAGAAGTTCAAGAAATTGATGAATACACCTGCCAGATTTGATGGTGATTCCAAAACCAAATTATACCTCAAACTAAGCAGAAAGGAGCATTATTCTTTCTACAGCAAAGGTGAGCAGATCTTAAGCATCAGAAGAACTGTCCCTGTCACATTGTGATTTTTAAAGTTTTGTCACCTAAAGAGAAAAAACATATCCTATTTTTAAACTCCTGACAAACATGATAACTCAATTCTCATTCTAGAAGGGCAATGAACTATCTCATTAATTCATCATTTTTGTTCAACTGCCTTTGAAGTGTATTAAATCTAAATCATTAAGTTTCAGGAAAGCCAATATTCAAATAGATGGTATTTAAGGAAAAACTTGATGTAAAAACTGGTGTTTCGCAGTTGTTGCATAGTTCTTCTCAATTATTAAAATCTCATGAAGTTGGAGGACATTCAGTGATATATTCTAAATACTTCTTAGACTGAGAATACTTCAGACCTGTCAGAAGGCAAACGCTGCTGAGTGCACCAGGAGAGAACTTCACAGTCATCATCAATTTCAGACAGTAACTACTAGAGGAATTGCAGATTATCCATTCACTCTTTCAGAACTGAACGAACACTTAGTTAGGACTTTCTAATGCCCCCTACTTTGGCATTAGCAGGGGTTTAATTTTCAGTGTATTAAATGCTGAGCTACTTTGTCTAGCTATGTTTTCTTTATAAGACAGCAGCAGAAGCTCTTGAGAACTCTGCATTTTTCTTGACAGATGATATTTGGGTCGTTTCCAAGACTCTCAACTTTGATCCCCTTGATACTTTCATTGCAACTAGTACTTTCTTTGGACCATCCTCCACCAATGAAATAGAACTGCTACCACTGAAAGGCTACTGTCCTTCAAACTGGAGATCAAATAGTGAGTGAGTTCTACACCAAATAATTCAGAATTGTGGCAAACAACTACTGGCCAGTGGTGAAGAATGAGATTGTAACATCTCAAACCTAATCTATTAATTTATTCACAGTATTTTTTTTCCTTGTATATTTGAGTATGTAATTTGAACACAGTACTTAGTGGAATTAAACCCGCAAAGTGGCTGGTAAGAAATTCTAAAGGGGGATGAAGAAACGGAGATAATATAAATAATGCAGTAAATAATATAATATAGAATGCAAATTGACTGTCAGGAATGCAGGTAACAGGAGCATGTTATCACTGTCCTTGAAGAACAAACCAACTGAAACCCCAAACAACTCACTATGGAGAATTTATATAAAAAGCCATGTATTAAACCTGTGATTTGGCTCTTCCATCCTTTCTTTCTGTACCTTTGTTGCTACAATGCAGAATGGCTAAAAAATGGGGGTTTCAAAATACAGGAAAACCAAATCTGTCTCGTTTTAGTTATTTTCACCATCGTGTTTTAAAGTAACTTGGTTTGTATTACAGGAAGCTAATTCCTCTTTTGGCATTTTGTAATTCACTTATCTAGCTGATACAAAATTTTGCCTAATTTCACTTTTTCCTAATCTTATCTTTCTGTGGCCTTTTCAGTGTTTGTTCATGCCCTGCTGGTTTGTAATGCTAGTGGTGAGCTTGCATCTTTAAGAAATATGGAGGAGCACTTCAATCCATCTACATTACCACTAACACCATATCTACTAAAAATGTAAGTTATTCTTTCAGTGATAATGTAGGCATACAGTGTGCAAATAGGTACAGAATAAACAAAATCACCATTGGGTATGCCCTACTAAAAAGTGAAGGAGGAGAACTGAAAACAGAAAAACAGTGCAAGGAACTGTTGAGAATGCAATTTGCATTTACATGGAAAAGAAAATGTATTGGTTGCTTAATTCAAAATTATAATTTTGTAGGGTTCTTTTTTTTCTTAAAATTTACCTGCAGCCCCTGTTTTACAAACCTAGACATAAATATTAGGCATTATTATAACATTAGTCACTAACTGATCTGTATCAAGGTAATGAATATGCTTCACAGGGGTTCAGTGGAACTGTTTTTCCTTCCCATTGTTCAGCATCCCTTGACACAAAACCTAAATATGAAATATTTTCTTGGAGAATCAAAGCAACACAGGGATATTTCCAAAACTGCTTGTGATTCACTGTATAACACAAGTAATTAAATGAATCCCTGCTTCTTCTACCACTCTTAATTCTGTCAGGCTTGTGCCTTTGAAGCAAGTCAGATGGAAAGTGTTAACATAGAGCAAGAAAGGTAAAACCCAAAAGCCTGTTTCATGTGATCCAGCTTTTGCCCAGGGAAGTAATAAGGGGCAGTGGCTGTTACTCACAAAGCCTCAGCATTTCAATGCCAGGTGAGTAAGAATATCAGAACCATGAATATCAGAACATAGAACACAAGAATATCAGAACTAATTATATATATGCAGTATTATAGCACAACTTTTGACCACTATATTTTCCTTAGGAATTTTGATTTTGAAAATGCTACTAATAGAGTCGAGAAAAGCAAATTTACTCCACCTGCCCTCAGCCTGAAACACACAATGAACGGACCGGTCAGCACTGAAGTGGCAATGGGCTTAGCTAAAAAGATTATCCAAACATTCTCGTTGAACCCAGATCAAGCTACATCACTGCTTCACATAGCTCAGATGATGACCTCCTGTGAAAACACCAAACCAATGCAAGAACGTCAGATCTTCCCTATCACACTCATTCGTGGTACACAGCAAATAATTGTGAAATTTGTTGCTATTGCATCTTTGCAGAAATGCTAATCCATATATACTGCCAGTGTTTGATAGAATTTAGGGATATTTCATTGTGATGAAACAGTAGTCTTGCTTCCTTAATCATATATGTACAATTCCAGGCAGACTTAAAGGAATATTTTTGTATCTAGGTAAATGTTCACTTATTTTAAATGTAATGCAAAAGATGAGCTTGACTGAGCTGTCCCTGTGTATAGAATATCCTTTTAAACTCTTTTGTAATGCTGCTTTCCTCGCCTACTTCATGCATTTCCTGAAAATTCTTTTCCTGGATGAGGTCGCTCTGATAATGATGTTGACATTATAACATCGATTCCACCATCATGGAGCTCCTTGAATTTTCATTCCGCCTTTTGCAGAATTTCACATAAGTAGAGTTCTGTCCTAGAACAGAATCTATAAAAACAAACAAAAAACAGTTATTGTCTTCAACTTATTTTTTTCATATTAACCCACTTTTATGTCATCTATCACCTTTGCTAAATTGTAATATAATTTTTTTTCTATTATATAATGTCCCTTGTTGTTTTATACTTCCTTAAATCTTTATTTTATCCCTTTTCAAAACGTACAAAAAGGCAAGGCTAGGAACACCTTAGTTCAAAGATTATTTAGAATCAGTATTGAAAAGCAGTTACCATAAATGCAAGTTTTCAGATCCTTTCAAAGTAAATACATCGACAATAGTGACACTCTTAGTGCAGGTACCACTGCACTTATATTGCCTGAGCTATTATTATTAGGCTGTCAGACACATTAATCTAGTTTAAATTATTAATCATTCCAGAATATTCATCTCTCAAACTCCTTATTTTGCACCTGGTATACGGGATGTGCATGCAGACACTTGTATTGTTTCAGTGTAATGATGAGACTCCTTACCAAGTAATACATGTATTCAAACAGAAAATTTAGAAAAAATACCATAGCTTCCCCTCTTCTGTAGGTTTTTACAAACTTACTTCATGCAGTAAATGGGAAGTGTAAGGCAATGGGTTGCCCCTGCATACCCAGAGCTGCTGAAGCAAGCATGTGCAATGTCTTTCCAGGAATCAGTATATTTCATATAAACTGAAGTTATAACAACTGATTAAAACTGTACCTTCTTGAAGAGTTTCACTCATAACTTTGGCTTTTTTCTCTTGAAATAACAGGTGGTTTTGGAGCTGGGAAGACCTATCTGCTGTCTGTTGTGATCTTGTTCCTAGTACAGCTCTTTGAAAGCAGTGAAGCTATGGAGAGTTCAAGGCTACCTCCATGGAAAGTTCTGATTGCTTCTTCTACCAACACTGCTGTTGACAGGATACTCCTGTGGTAGGTTACTGAGATTGTTCCAAAACCAATAATGCATGTAATAAAGATAATTGTGCTGATAATTGTGGTATAATTCCAGTATAACACCTCAAAAAGATGGCATTCTTTCCCTAGAAAGTGTCACACATGGGCTTTAAGTT